GAGGCTGTAAATCTACGGAAGTAGATTGCCTCATTTTCCTTCTGTAGAGTGTCTGATGGGTTTGAACCAATGACCTTCTGGTTAGCAGCCAAATGCCTTATCGACTACGCCACCAGAGAGCTCTTCTTCCTGAACAATTCAGCCCTAACTGTCATTTTAATAGCTGGAGCTGAACAGGAACTGCCCTGTGCAGAGGCAAGGGGGAGGGGAAAGGCAGAGCTCAAATGGATGAGAAGGGAGGCTATAGGCTGTGCTGAGGAGGGGATGGTGGGAGCTTGGGACATATAGGAAGATGGATCATAATATGTTAAAGATATGAGGAGTCAGGTTTCCACTGTTGGCGAAGGTATATGTGCCCTGGTAGCAATGTAAAATGTATTTCTTATAATGGGTGAGCCAACTGGACTTTCAGACCCTTCAGAATGTGCCTCCACATAACTTCCCTCAACCTTATGTCATGCTCTCGCTAAGTGCTAACCACGCTGCCTTCTCTGAGTTTCTGGAAAGCTCAGCTCTTTTCAGCCTCAGGGTACTACCACATGATGCGCCCTATACCTGGAATACCCCAGACACTTCCTAAACTGGCTAATTCCTACTCGCCCTCCAAGTTCCAACCTAAGTATCATTTTCTCTGAGTTTTCCCTGACTTCCCATCCTAAACCACATCCTTTCTGTTATTCTCTGGCAGAAAGCCAATACCATTTTCTTCCTCATGACACTCATTCCACTGGTAACTGTGAATTTTATCTATTTCTTTAATGTCCACGTCCGCCGTGAGACTGAGAGCCCAGCAGGGGCATGACCTGGGCCAGCCTTGTCCACTCCTTCTTCCGTGGAGCTCAGCACAGTGCGCAGCCCACAGGAGACCCTCTAGATACTGTACCTGAGTGAGCGAAGGAATGAATGACTTTCAGTGAATACAGCAGAGGAGGTAAGAGCAAACACATCTCCTCCCCCTAAACCTGAACCATCTCAGGAATCGTGCCTTTGATTGTGACAGATGAGAGGACAAGAATTCAGCCCACTGTTGGCTGAATTTAAACCCACTAAAGCTGGCGGTTCAAACCCACCAGCCACTCCTCGGAAGGAAGGTTGGGCAATCCTACTTCCGTAGTGATACTGCCTCGGAAACCCAAGGAGGGGTCGCTATGAGTCGGGGCTGACTCGACGGCAAACAACAACAACAACAACAAAAGCTTCTCTAGGAGCTCTGGTAGCATAGTGCCTAAGGCACTTGACTGCTAACCAGAAGGCTGGTGGTTCAAACCCACCAGCCACTCCTCAGAAGGAAGGTTGGGCAATCTACTTCCATAGTGATACTGCCTCGGAAACCCAAGGAGGGGTTGCTATGAGTCGGGTCCAACTCGATAGCACATTAACAACAACAACAACAAAGCTTCTCTAAGGAGCTCGGGTGGCACAGTGCCTAAGGTATTTGACTGCTAATCAGAGTGTTGTTGGTTCAAACTCGCCAGCCACTCCACAAAAGGAAGATGGGACAATCTACCTCTGTAAAGATTTACTGCCTTGGAAACCCAATGGGGGTCACTATGAGTTGGAATCAACCCAATGGCAGTTAAGCTTCTGTAGTCAAAAAGTAACCTCTGGGTACATAAGTAACAAGTCACTTGAAGGAGAGTGGGAAGAAAGACAAACTTAATTATAAGGGCCTTGGAAAGAACAACAATATGGGGGAATAAAACATCTCTCTGCTCAGGATTTGAGAAATTCTAAAATAATGTTACTTACAGGAAATGGCAAGGAGCCTTGGTGGGACTGTGGTTAAAGTGTTCAGCTGCTAATTGCAAAGTTGGTGGTTCAAACCCACCAGCTGCTCCATGGGAGAAAGGTGAGGCAGTCTGCTTCTGTAACGATTACAGCCTAGGAAATGCTATGAGTCAGAATCGACTTGATGGCTGGGTTGTCTTATTTTATTTTATAGGAAATGGCACAGAACATGAGAGCTCTGCAGGCGCCTGTGTGAGAGCTGCTTTCAGAGCTGCTTTTTAACTTAGTCTTTTGGCTTCAGAGCCAAGGTGTACACTAACCTCCAGTGCTCTATTAACACAGGGACATTAGCAAGATTTCTCAACCCCTGAGGAGCACAAGGCCACTTTTCACCAAGAGAAAACAAATTTAAAATTTTATGTGAGAGTATGTGTAGTTTAGGCATTTCAGATTCTTACTAAAGCAAATAAATAAATTAGGTAATAAATGGAAAAAGTCAATTCATAAAGGTGTAGAACAGTCATAGGAAAGGAAAAATGAACTTTAGTGGGAAAGCAGAGTGTTGATGAACAGAGCTGTTTAAAAGCATGATTAAAAGGACGCATACTTCAGTCGGGATGAGAGGAAAATCGTTTCTGGGGTGGGGAATAATTGTAAATGCACCAATATTCAGCTTCAGTCTTGGATCTCAGCCTAAATCTGCTATTCAGCTTTGGCCTCGAATGCCTACATCAGCATCATTCCTGGCATCCCTGGCCCTGTGCGTGGTCACAGGTTCCAGGAATGTGTGCAATCCCATCTGCACAATGACCTCAGAAACACAAACAAGCCATAGCACTTAGAGTTACTCCTAATATCTGAATATTCACTGTAGCTAACAGTTGAGGTTTTCTTCAAGTAGTCTAATGTCAGACTTTCAAAATCTGGCTACTAAAATGTTGTTGTTGTTATGTGCCGTCAGGTCGGACCTGACTCATAGTGACCCCTCCTTGGGTTTCTGAGGCAGTATCACTACAGAAGCATATTGCCCAACCTTCCTTCCCAGGAGTGGCTGGTGGGTTTGAACTGCCAGCCTTTTGGTTAGCAGTCAAGTGCCTTAGGCACTATGCTACCAGAGCTCCTGCTAAAATGTTAAGTATTAACATTATGATAATAGTTTAAAATTCTGACACATTTGCAGACTTCTATCCTAGAAGTTCATTCTATGAGGGTGATGTTTGGAATCAGTCTTATATTGATATACTGATTTCATCACTCAATCATTTGGCTAAAATATGAGTATCTCTGATGCTAATTAGCATTCTAATTAGCAGCCTTCAAAACACCCATTTTCACCAGCAACAAGGATAGCATGAGAAATGTCAGATTCATGAAAGAAAAAATAACAAACCCAAAGCCCTGATAATTTCCCCAAGAGGAACATTTTTCATTTTCCACCCACACCTGAACCCAAGACCTATGAGTTAGGGGATTTTATTTTATTCCTTTCTCTCTCCCCCCTCTACCAACCTCAAAAAACAAAAACTTCTCAGACTATAACCTCTCATTCTCCCTCATACCTCAGTAAGAGTAAAAAAAAGCCCAAGAAAAAAAAAGGAGGAAAGAAAAGAAAAAGAAAAATCTAAGGGCTCTATTCTGATGGTGGGTGACAAAGGGATCCCAAATGATAAAAAAAGCCTTCATGGTGGCACTTGTGTTGAATACAAAAGCACGTGTCCACAGAGACCCAGACATAGACAGTGACTCAGACCCCAATCAAGTGAGTCATCTTGGGGGTGCAACTGCTAGCAATAAGAAGAGTGGAGATGGGAGTAGGAACCGCCATGGATGCCAATGCCATTCTGAGAGAGCTCTTCTCCAGGAGTTGTTTAAATAGGTGTCATTTGCTCCAGATGTGGCTCATGACGAGGAAGGATTAGTTTTATTGTTCTGAGCTTTGGTTTAATGCAGAAGTTTAGCTTAGCAGTTTGGGGAAAGACTCCTTGTTAGTTGTTATTTTCCTTCTCTCCTGGGAGGGAGGATGAAAATAATCTCCCCATTCTGTCTTTTCCTACAAGCACTTGTCTTTTATAGTTGTTTTTCTACTTAGAATTTTCTGATAGAAATGGTTTCTTAAGGAAATGGTGGAGATTACACACACACACACACACACACACACACACATAAAGTTGGACCCATTTTTAATGTTCAGCTTAACTAGAAGTACCCTGGAGACTGGCTTGTTTGGATTTAGTCTGTCAGAAAGTTCCATGAAGTCAGGAGACAGGATAAAGATGGTTAGGGGCTGGACTTAAGACCCCCTAGCTTTCCAACCAGAGTGAGTCAACCAGTTGCCTAAAAACACTTCGTTCAGATATTTGTCAAGGAAAAATCACTAAATCATCATCACTAAAATAAAATCATGACCACACAAAGTTTTAGATGACTGACTGATAAGTTCTCATGGCTAAAGGTATAACACAGGATGGTTATGAGGAACAATGTGTGACTAGAGAGAAATCTAATAAAGAAATGGAAGAATAACCCTATGAAATTTTACTAAGATACATTACAAAATACTGGGAAAAGGGGAATATAAAAGTTCAAATATAAAAGTTCAAATTAAGTATAAGCTTCTGCTTAAAATCCCCTTTATGGAATTTCTGTCCTCAGAGGTTTAACAGACTTCAACTTGCTAAGAGCCAAGGGAAATAAAAGGCCTTCTATTTCTCACTTGAAATTCCATCCTTGGGATTTGCTACATGAGTACCAACAAGGACCCCACTGCTGGCAGAAGTGCAAACTTCTCACATTCTCCCAGTCAAATAATAATTGATGTCAAAGGAATACAATCCTTTGCCATCCTCCTGTACTCTGTTATCTATTTCAAAGTACAGTGAGAAAAAGAAAAGCTTGAGAGTTCTCTGTCTAAACATCAGAGCAGCAGGCCACAACTAAGCAGCAAAACCATGAACTTTTTTAAAAAAACCTCATGAACTTTCTTCCTCCTTTGCCCTACCTTTGGCCCTCAGAGGTCGGGTCTTGAGAGCATCCCCAAGTTAAACACCTGACTACTCAGTTCAAGCAGAGGATCCATCTCCTCTAAACACTCTCCTAACAGAGGAAGGAGTCTCAGTCACAGCATATCCGGGAAGTGGTCTCACAGCTTGTGGAGGAAAAAGGAGCGTCTCTCACAGGAAGTGGGGTTCTCCCAACCCATAACCAGCTACCGATGAGTTGACTATGACTCACGATGACCCATATGCCCCCTCAAACTGTAATCCACAGCTTACCTTGGGACAAGGTGGTTGAATTTGTAAGAACTGAAGACCTCTTGGATCTTTTCTTCTACTTTTGCCTGGTAAGGATGGGCAAGAGATGGGAGAGAGAAAACAAATACAGATGAGACCTCTATCAACTTTATTCTCCTATTGCCACAAATGCCTGGAGTTGGCTGGAATTGTGTGGCCTAGTAGTATACTGCATAGTGCAATAAGGCTGGATTCGGGAACTTTGCAGGGTGATGGGATTAGGACACGGAGAGAAAATGCTCTGTACCATTTGGCATCACCATCAACTTCTCTAATAACCTAATCTGTAATATCCAAACTTGGAATTGGACTCCCTGATGCCAGTTACTCAGGGAATAGATGAAGAGAGATACATTTTCCTTGCAAGATTTATTCTTGCCTACCCACCAGCCACTCCTCGGAAGGAAGGTTGGGCAATCCTACTTCCGTAGTGATACTGCCTCGGAAACCCAAGGAGGGGTCGCTATGAGT